TTAAGCCTAATTAGAGAACATCAATCAGAACAAAAACTACTTCTATTTAAAACTGCTTAATTTTACACTGATATAATGAATTTAATCAAAATCATTAGAGCTGTTTCCGAGAAAATTGTAAAAATGTGTCCACTTCCGGTCAGTCGATTTTGACTAAAAATTTACTCTAACATCCCTAGCATATAAAACATTAAATATGCAGTTTCACTCTAGAACGACGAGCTAGATTGTTAGCACACTAGCCATTTTGCGGGACTTGATTATTTGGACTCAGAGGATCTCAAAACGTGTATTTTCGTTGAAAACTGAGATTCATAAATGTTTACGATCGTAATACTTTAATATATATTTCATATACAGGTAAGTGAAAGTAAAAAACCGGAGGTTAAAAAAACTTTGTGCTCAGAATCAAACATTTCCACTCGTGTTTTGCTTTTCATCAATTCGCATCAATTTTTTTATTATTTTTTAATAAAGTTGGATTATGTTAATACATAACAAGTATCGCTCCACCATGATGGGTAGGCAAGATCTCATTATCAAGGTAGATCTCATGATTATACTGTAAAAGGAATTATACTTATATTTTCTTGGGATAATGGTGGAATGTTCCCGAAGCCTTAATGGAAAAATCTGATGCGCGTAACACACAACTTTAACCTATATTTTGAACAGAAATTTTTTTCTGAGAAAGTTTGGCTACTATAAAGTTTTTTAACTTTATTTTTAACGTAGCTAAATACCGGTTTAATTATACCTTAACAAATATTACTTTTATTTCGTTCTGTTATCAGTTATTACTTAGCTTAAATTAAACATTATTTCATAGATGAAAGAACATCATTATTTTTATTATTGAAACATTATATTATTTTCACTAAATATTTATGATTAAGAATATTCTTTACTGTAATTATATTTGTGATATAATATTTATGATTTTCAATTTAGTAGGAGTAAACTAAGGCAGACTACAGGGTGAGTCTGGGCTGCCAAATATAGAGCGCCGAGTCCTTGCTAGTTCTTTCCGCGAGGTAGGAGAATTCAAATCCTTCGTCGCTCAGCCTTGTCGGCCCTCGAGCTGTGTTCCGTCATGTCAGTGCCAGGAGGATTTCGTGGCTGAGGGAAAGGAAAGGTCTGACTCAGCTTCTCTATGTCGAGGACAACTCTAATAGGTTGGGGAAATTCGAAGAACAATGACTAATCTTTGACGTAGCCAAAGTTTTCGAGTCACCTTTCAATAAAGGACCGAAAAGTAAAACATATTTAACGAACTATTATTTGTCATTCTTTAGTCACCAAAAGAGTCATTATTATATTCACCTTTTACTACTGTTTCGACAGTAATAAGAAAAAAAAGTAATAAAGTGAGTAATGGAAGTGGTTGTGATTTTTCGCAAAATATTTTAGTTGGGGCCTTCTAAACCTAAACTTAAAAATTATAATATATGAACATATTTGAGTTTCTACGATTCTTTACGCATGCCAGATTCTTCATGCATTGAGGGATAAAAAACGCCTTGGAATATTTAAAAATAAAATATAACACAAAATATTTGGATTGGAGAAAGGTACACGGCAAAAATTAAAACTTTATCTGATTAATAAAATGGGTTACGGACGTGGGGTCTCTGATTTCAATGGAACGTTTTCTGGGTGATACTAGGTAGAAAAATATTAAACTCATATCCGAGAATTCTTGCCAATGCGCCATAGAACTCTAGAAAAAACATAGTTTTTTATAAATTCAAACAAAATTTATGTTATTAATTTTTGCTTTTGCAGAATATGAAAAAAATATTGATTATGGCATAAATAAGTTATTTTGAGTGCTATCAGTGGGTAGTCAACAAGAGATTTCATGTTATTATTTTCCTGAATGCACATTTACTAGTTGTATTTTTATATAATACAGTTGTAAATATCAATGAATAAAAAAAAAACAAAATGAGTTATAAGGTAGGTATCTTCAAGACGAAAAATCAAAACGCGCTTCCAGTAAGGCCAGCAAAATTAATAACATACATTTTGTTTGAAATTATATAAAATATTTGTTTTCTTATCTTAGGAGATCCATTACAAATTCTTACATAAATCATAATCCAAAAATTTATATGTTTTGATTTTAAAACAAAAACGTACTTAAGAGTTTAAGTTTACGCTAAAAATGAATCCGAATAGTTTTTTTTTTCAAGACTACTTTACTGGAAGCGTCTTTGGTTTTCGTAACTTATTATACATTAGAATTCATTTAATACAATCAGCAATATTTTATATATTATTTTTCACAAAAGAACAAAAAGTCATATATAACTTAGGAATCCCTGCAAATCCAAAAAATAGTAATATAAAAAAATTATATATATTTTTTTCTCGGTTCCTAGGGCGCATTGGCAAGAACGCGAATATTTTTCGACCTGGTATCACCAAAAAAGGTTTCATTGAAAACGGTGACCACACATCCGTAACCTCCCCCCCCCCTTGTTAGTTGCGAAAATCCCTAAAAGGTTAATATGTACCGCCTGAATAGTAGACTGAAGAGAAAGTGGAGTATTTGACCCGATAAGTTCAGGAGTCTTAAATCAATGATAATGATATTTATATTAAATATAGTATAATTTCAGTGTCAGCCTTAGACATTTCATGTTTCTTGGCTGTTAAACGAAATTATTTAAGACTATTAATGGAAGTTTATTTTTTTTATTTTTTGTTGGCTATGAACTAACTATAAAAAAAAATAATTTCTTAGGCTTGGCATATTACTTTGTAATAAAATTAAATTAAATTAAGTATTTCATTAATATGCGTCGGATTCAGTACCTTCATTAAAAAGCTAAAATAATAAGAGATATTTATTTATAAAAAGTTGGGTGTATTGAATTCCATTTTGGGCGAGCATACAATTTAATTGCAGGAACTTAATTTAAATTAACCCAATTTAATTTAATTAGGAAATTGCAGGAACGATAATAATTATGGATAAAATCTTTACATTTTTTCTTCAGAAGTGGTTACATTTAATAGCTTAAGCATATGCATTATAATTAAAAAGAGAAAATATTGCAATTTTCAAGTGTTTCACTCAAATCACTTGTAAAAACAAAAATATACAAATGAAAAGATTTTCTGTTTTGTGAGATTTCACAGCAAAGCACGGGGGTATTTTTTGGAGATGAAGTCTCCTCCTTTCCCAAAAATTTTAAAATATAACCACGTTTATGAAAGAAATTATCTCTAAATGTATTATTGTTCGTCTAATTAGAGTTAATAGGACTTAAATTAAAGAACCACTTAAAGACCATTTCATATAGATACTTAGTTTCTTTCTTTCTTCCGAAGTAATTATCCTAATATATTTATACAAAAAAAAAAAAATCTTTTGAGCTGAAGCTCCACTCCCCCCAAAATTAAATCCTGGATCTGTTAGTGCTGGAAATTGTATTTTTTTCTTGAAAGGACAAGTATTCATCTGCATCAAGATAGTCTTCATCAAGTGTGGTATTATGTTCATGTATGTAGCAATCGAATAGGACATGTTGGAATTTTTTTTGGGTTCACCAACAGTCACAACTGTCTATATTTCTATGCTAGAAAGTTTCAAATTATGTTCGGTATGGCCAAAATTGCATGACAGTTCTCTCTCTTTTTTTTCTATGACAGTCTGCCGAACTGAAAAAAAAGAAAAAATCACACAACAAACACGTTAAACATACTCAGCTAAAATTTGTTCATGGTAACTCAAAGAAAATCAGGTATAAAATCTTTTGATTAATAAGAAGTGATAAGCATACTAATAAATTTACTTATTCGGGATTTTTATTTGATTACATGAAAATACCTTTATTTATTGTTACATGAAATTAAAATACTCGAGTTGTTGAATGTCAACATTAAAAATATCGCCTGCAGCACTGCTTTGTTTCCATATTTTTTTTTTTAAGTGGAACCTTCTTTCGACGTGTTATGCAGCCGTCAGATCTCCGATGTGTAACGCTCGGATGAAGTGAGCTGTAGTTGACTAATTGAAATGTTTTAGCAAGAGAAATGTTTATCATTTCATCTTCTTTGTAATGAGCTATTATTCAAAATCGTGTCTTAACGTGGGGCATAAAGGAAAAAATAGCGTCGAAAACCAAATGATAACGAGTTTTATAAAAGATATGGATTAAAATATCTCAGAAACTAAAAATCGGACCTGCATACTGTAAGTTAGTTAAATGTTTAGCATTTCATCCTCTTTATAAGAACTATTATTTATAATTTATATTTCATATTATTAATCTCGCCTTGTTGATGTTTTTACTTTTAGCGTGTGCTCTAACGGACAAACCTTAGTTGTTTTTTTTAATTTATCGCCCCAAGACTTCCAATGAGATTTCATACTACCCGTTTACATCTTTATTATCTGGTGGGATTTCTAATTTAACGTCTTGAAGTTTAATATCTCTGTTATAATTACACATGTATCGTAACAATTAGAGATCTAATTGGAGGAGCCAAGGACTGTACCAGCAGCCAGGTGAGGGTCTTAATTTACTACTATTAGAAGTAGGCATTCAAGCAAAAACATTCTCTGATAATAATCTTAACCACTTAAATTAAAGATGATTTGTACAGCTAAATGGTCGGGTCTATGGCTTGATGAGTCATAGTGTCATTACACATAACTTTTGTTCTGAAAACAAAAACTATTTTACCATATATGAGCCTTTCAGTTGACAGAACGACTAAGTCCAATTTCAACATTTTTGATTATTGATTTTAGTAATATTTCTTGTGGGAAAATTTATACCTTTATTCACAGTTCTAAATTTCAACACTGCAATCACCTACTCTGAAATCAACTGATTCACTGTATGTACAAATATTATAAATTTTCAAACTTTTTTGCTTTGGATTGAGATGAGAAATATTTTTTAAAAAATGATCAAATTATTTTATAAATAGTACTAAAACAAACTATTTTTCTTACAAATTACTGAGTTATCTCTTGTTTTCAGGTATGAAGCATTGTTGGAACCGGATATCATCAAGGCATTAATGTTACTAAAAATAAGTAAGTAATTATATATCATTTTAAAAACTTTTTTTAAAATAAAATAAAAATAATAAAGAAATGTACGAAGTAATCTATATGTCATAATTATATTTATGTATGACTAGGAGAGTGCCCTCTGTCCAGCTAACGGCGGACCAACCCCCATTTTGGAAATTATACAACTGTTTATTTAATTTTATTACTCGTTGCTCAAATTTTATAACTTTAATTTACATGTATTCTGTAGTTCAGATTGTATTATTTTTTACCAACATAAAATAAACTGAATGAAACCACAGTTCGTACAATTTTTTTTTTTTTTTTAAATAACTATATTATACATCGCGCCTTATCGTCAATTCATATTATTATATAATTATTCTTATCGTCAATTTGTAACCATAATATATATTCAACTTTTCTAGCTTCATATAAACCCAACATTAATTTCTAATATTCTCATTGTTCGTTCTATTGTGCTTCCTTTTCTATTTCATAATAATTATAATTATATCTCAATAAAATATAAATAATACTATATATCATATAATAATTAATATATTGTAGTCAAGGAGAAATTTGTTTATCATTTTGAATGAGCGTAAAGTACAGTAAAACAAGGATGTAATTAAGGCCCTGATTTTTATTTTAAAATAATATTTGGTAGTCTGTGGAAGTCGTAATTTTAATGAAAGGGAGGTTATACCTTGAAGAAGTCAGTACTCGGCCGTTCTCGGAATTCCATTTATAGCATGATCTAGAAAATGGGTGATAGTCGATAGTTTTCATTATCGATAGTTCGATACAATAGATGAAACCTATCGATAGTATAATAACTGGTATAGTAACTGAAACTGGTCAATCAATATCTCATGTAACGAAGGCATGGAGGTCAATATGGGCTGTGCATGTACCGCAGATCAATCCATCAAAAATCCTCTAAACATCAATGTATGCCTCAATGAGGGATGCCCATCCTCTCTAAGTCGACGGCTCAAGAATTTACCCTCCTCCCAAGATATTTTATTGCACACCGTTTCTTAAAAACAAAGCAAAATTAGAAAAATCGTCGATCATATATAATTACACTTGCTGCAGTCTGTTCCATGTTTTCCTCTTGTCGTCCCTTAGTCCGATAACTCATTATCCCATCTAAATTCGCCCCCCCTCTCAAAAATTCAAAAATCCATCAAAATATACCCCCTTAAAAATTTTGATGCCACAACTTGCGCCATGCAACCCTCTTCTGGGCACCCCTGTCCTCAACAGTGGGCTAAAGAACACATGGAAGGCCGGAAATCACAGATTGATCGAATTAACGAAGATGCAATAAACGCTGCTTGCAGACAACTGGAAAGAAAGAGTCCAAGATCGGAAGAAATGGAGAAGGTTGACTATGACAAAAGATCTAGAAGGTCTATAATGCCAACAGAAAATATTGGTTGGATTCCGTTGGACTGTTTCTAATTTAATTTTTTTTTTTTTAAACCTGAAAAGATTTCGAGGTTCTTTCGGTGTCCAGCACTATATTCAGCTCTTTCAAAATAAATCTTTCTATTTAAAAAATCAATAATTTGAACACTGTTCATCTAGTTCATTATACAATATTTAATAGGGAAATATTTAAAAAGTTAATAGTATACATCAAGATTTGCAAAAAAAAGTTCATATAAACAACTTCCAGCAGAAAAGTTGGAAATTTAAGATTTTTTTTTCAAGCGAGCTACGTTTTTTATTAAATAGGAAGCGATGACTTAAAAAATATTTGATTTAAGAAACTAAACATTGATTCATAGTAAACTGAAAAACATTTACTTTAAACGGAAGTAGAGTCTGTCATTCTTAAAACTATTCAAAGAGGACTATTTGGGCGGACAAACATCTAAATTCCGTTTAAAAAAAAGTCATAAATTATTTGTGAATATATACCAAACAATTATTCTTTATTATATTATGACGTTTTGGGATCTACCTTCATATCCCATCTTCAGACAGCATCTTCATCCTGTATCCTCTTATTCCTTATAAGATTTGTCAAAATTATTTATTTTAATTTTTTATATTCATATTTCATTTCTTAAAATTATAATGTTGTCTCCTCTAAGAAGAGTCTATTTGTGATTTTTTTTTTTATCATCCTTTAACTGTACTACATTTACTCCACTTTTAGGAAAACTTCCTCGTTTAATAAGCCTTAAGTCCGTATTAATTAAGTTGATGTTTATTTTTTAAGATTTTTAAAGAAATGATGTAATTTCCTATCCAGTCACCTAAAAGTACCCGCATTTTCTGCAAAAATGACTACAATTAGCTTTTGCAAATCTTCTGTTTCTTGTTTTGCCGTGATGTGGGATTTATTGTAAGAAAAAAAGTTGTCTAAAAACACATTGTATTTATAAATATAAAAAATTTAATAATAATTTTTTTTTTAATTTTTTTCACGTAAAGTGGTTATGAAACTGTGTTTTTCACCCAGATATCCGTCATCGGAATCTGTGTATATATCCGTGACAGAATTTATGTTTCTTGCTAAAATTTGCGTTTAAAATAACCTACTGATTGCTTCAATTGTTTTCATGAAAATGTAAATATTAGGGCTAGAAACATTAAGTAATATCTAAACATCACGGATCCCTGTACTTACGGAACACCCTGTATAATATATTATGGAAATGTGATACATTTTCCCCGGCTACTACCTCTCTAAGTGCTTAGTGTGTGTGTGCATGCCTGCGTGTCTAAGATTGCTTGGATGTGATTTTATTCTCGATTAAAATAATTAAATTACATGCACTTTCATAGTAAGAAATAATATCAACTACACAAATCACACTTGAATATATTTAGGAACATTATTCTCTTGTAGACACTGAAATTAACATACACTGAAGGCTACAACGGATAAGCATGGTTCTGCCAATAAATCCACAGTAACGATTCGAAGCGATACAGATACTTAATTTAAAATCTGACTAATGGCAGTGACCGTCAGCTTAAGAATTTATGTGCTTCTTTCATTAGTTTTTATTACCAGAACCTGCTCTCCGCTCTTGAGAATCCAATTTAGCAGTTCTAATAAAAACAAATCTGAGAAGTTATGGATGAACTGTATTTGCTAAACGAGCAATGCCAGCAATATCTGAACAGAAAATAAAATAAACCTCACCAAGGAATCATTTAACGTGCTATAGTTCAGTTGTGTATTACAAAAAAAAAAAAAAAACTTATGAAACTCATAGTGACTGAAGGTGATCGGCCATTTTTTCTCTTGAGTAAAAAAATGTAGTCCAAAAAACTTAGACAAATAAAAAAAAATTCGTTAGGCATTTGTCCTTGCTATCTATCCTAAGGCCCCTTCCTTATATCGAACCACTAAATCGTTTTATAAAAACATTTTAGTCTGAAAACCAATAAACATAATTAGACATACATTATCAACCTTGATCTATTGGTAGATTATTTAACAAGTCATCTTGGTATAGCATACCAATAATAATTATTATCAAGTATTATATCTTCCTTTTTAATAATTTATAAGTATAAAATTAGATATTATTTAGAATAGAATTTATTGAATTTTGGGCCTGATGAACAAGAAGAAATGTCGATGTAATGATTGGATAAACTTTTAAATAAAGTATTCACAAATAACATATACAAATATGTACATTATTTCACAATAATTATTATTAATGTAGACTTAATTGTAATTAACTAATGTCTTTTTTAATTAATATTGATTTATTATTTTCAATAAATAACTATTGTAATCGACCAAAAAATTAATTCTTCCTCTTCCGAAATGTGAGTTCTTACGCTTCATGTTACATAGAACCCGAAAATCGAATAAAAACATTTTGTAAATACCTCGTCAACGGCACAGGGCTGACAGTGAAACAAAAGGCAATACAAATTGCTTTTTAAATTGTGTCTACTTAGAAAAAGGAACTTTAATCTGGGTAATGTTTTTGTAGCCCAATAATAGATAATTTCTCAAGATATTTTAAAAATCATTTTATTTTTTTAAAAAATGAATAAATATATACAATTGAAAAGTTTTTAAATATTTAATGTTTTTAAATACAATTAAAAGATTTATACACAACACATATTATTCTGGAAACCAAAAAAGAACAATTAGAAAAATGCCAATAAGTTTGCTATACATTTTTTTTAGATTAAAAAATTATTAATTAGTAATACATTACTAAATCAGTAATTAATTAATAAACCTGTAAAAAGGCATTATAATGGAAAATCTTTAAATATGTCCAACTCACTGCCATCATCATTAGAATATTGCTGTCATCATATCATATAAGTTCTGTGAGCCACCAACTAAAAAGGTCCTGAAGGTTGAATTTATTTCGAACCACGAGCGGATCTACGGGGGAGGGGAGGGAGGCTTTGGGGCTGAAGCCCATCTCCCCCTCCAAAAATGGTAAAATGTAACCATATTTTTTGGGAAAAAATATTAAAAAATTATCTCTTAAAGTATTATTGTTTGTATAATTACATTTAAAAGAACTTTAGGAATCACTTAAACACCATTTCATATAGGTAGTTAGTTTTTTTTTTTTCAAGGTAATTATCTTTATTTTTATGAAAAAAAAAAGATTACGGTTTGAAGCCCTCCCTCCAAAATTAAATCCTGGATAAGCTAGTGTTTCGAGCATATTCTGAAAAGATAACACGGTATTCCCGGATAGTTCAATTAATTATTTTTTGTTTCCTTAAACAAATACAGAGGTCACTTATTTTAATCACATCGTATATAATTAAAATGAAATATATAATGTAACTTATTTCTATGGAGTGCTGTGCAAACGGGTTAGCCCATTCGGCTACCCCGTACCCAATTACACCTATGTATAAACATACGTTCAATTCTATTTTCCATAAAAAAATGTTCACTATCGATGTTTTCACTTTCGTCTCACTAGATTCTCTGAGTCCACAGTGCGACAATACGGAGTGTTCCGAATATGAAGTGTTCCAAATGGATATAATAAAAAATA